CATTTACATTTACAAAGTGGAAAATGGCGGATAGAGATTCATGTAAAAAAGAAATGTGTGGAGTGCCCCAGAAGAAAAACAAATCCTGCTCATATGCAGCGAGCTTGAGATTGCGGGGACATCTCGATGAAACCACTCAACGGATCGCTGTCGAATCTTTCGTCGGGGTTTTCGCATAAGTTTCCCAATTTTCTTTGACCAATTAATTACCTGGGAACCCAACAACCAATCTTGACCGAAGAGACAGTTTAAATTAAAATGAAAAAGACAGTGAACAAAACAGCGTTTTTTACGGGCCAAAGCCAGTCGTTTAGCTTTTTTGCTCGCCCAAGCCATTGTTGCGAGATGCAAACGCAATTACCCCAAAACGAGGCACCAAACCAAACTACGTCATCATTGGACCGATCTGGCCGCGAACTAACCCGTGAACCATTTATACGAGCAGTTCGCGTTTAATATAAGCCGTACTCGTATAAATAGTTCCTTTCGCGTCTTATGTAAGCCGCGGCTTATTTTTTCTCGTATAAACGGCCCTAAAGTTGGTGGAGATGAGCCCGCGCTCTTTCCACTTCGCGGGGAAAACCAAGACCCGGCGGACCCTAGAGAGCGGCGGAAATCGAGCCTAAGGTTCAAAAGATTTTTTACAATAACTGAGCGAATCCTGGCGCGCTGATTGGTCGAGAGCTATGGTCTATAGAATATAGACCATGGAAATGACGTAACATGTCACGTAGCGCCGGTTGTTTTGTTATTGGTTTTTCGTAAAAAAATAAACTGTTATTGTAAAAAACAAATCGACCACAATTTTCCATGGTCTACACTCTTATAGACCATAGAAATGACGCCTTAAAATGTTCAAAACTTTGCAGTGAAACCACTCGCCTACGGCCAGTGGTTCCACTTGAGTTTTGAACATTTTATGACGTCATTTCTTTGGTCTATAAGAGTGTGGACCATGGAAAACTGTGGTCGATTTGTTAAGTGACCATTTTCTTGCGTTTTTAACCAGTAATTGAACTACATACTGGATACCAGTCTCGTAGCTTAAAGGGCTAAAAGCCAAATGCAAGGCTGTTCGGGCAGCTATAATAGACTCAAAGTAGGGTATAAATTATATTGCCCAATATTTCAGTTAGACAATTCGCCACTCTAAAAACAAGAAGGGAACTGGAACCGAATGTGTCCTACAATTGTTTCTGGTAAATCGTTACTGGGGACGCGCCGGTTTGTTGCTATTGGCCAGGGCCTAGTTGATCGACGGCCGATTAGCGCTAACCCAGGGTTAAATTTTAACCCGGGTCTCTTTTTCTTTTCATCAAAAGCATTTTCTCGGACAATTTTCTCTATTATTTTTAGAGTAGCCAATCATCAAATTGTTGACAAAAAGAATGAAACTGAATTTGCTTTTTAAGCTTTCATATCTGAATTGAAATTTCGAACTAACCCTGGGTTATCTCAACCAATCTCAACCCAGCTTTGAACAACTCGGCCAGGGTTCTTCCCCTGTCCTTAGTAACAGTCCAAGAGGTCTTCGCGAAAGATAACTCGGTCTAGTTTTCCCCTCGTTTCTAAATTGGCGAATACCGCTGACCTTTATCAGGACTATCAAACCAACGTAGCTATAGAATAAAACGGTTACAAGATTTAGAATGATTCAAAAGAAAAGATTATTAAAAGTGATTGGTTGACTGGGCAGAAACGTGTACACGCCACTTGCACATCTCCCATAATGCACCTTATAGATCGTTTTCACATGACGTCACGGCGGCCATATTTGTGTACAAAAAAATGAATCGGCGGCCATGTTTGTGTACAAAACAATGAATCGGCGGCCATGTTTGTGTACAAAACAATGAATCGGCGGCCATGTTTGTGTACAAAACAATGAATCGGCGGCCATGTTTGTGTACAAAACAATGAATCGGCGGCCATGTTTGTGTACA